TTGCAATGGTCTTCTATCTTGGCATGTGTGGTGGCTATGGTGGTGGCGTTGCTGTTGTTGCAGTGGTTTGAAGATCTTGAGATCTTGTCCCTGGAATCAAGTGAGATGAAGGTGAAACAGGTTTCATTTAAGAAGAAACACAGTTTTAGCTCTCACTGTTATAGAAAAACTGAGGCTCTGACCCCAGTCCACACTAAACATTTGGAAATGAGAAACCAGGTGATGAATAAACCTTTCTTTTGAAGGAGGGGGGAAGGAAGCACTGGAGGAACTGAGTCACTAGTTTTGAGCAATCCTGAACTCACTGCTAAAATCTCTCATCTCCACTTTTATAAGACCTGTTGCCAGCAACAGCCGTGGGAGCTCAGAGCTGAAGCAGGAGAGCTGACACCACAGACAAGTTAAAACTGTTACAGGGCTAAAACCTTCACACTGACATGTTACCTGTGGGAGCCCATGCAGTGAAGCCTCTGTCTCTGACCCAAGCTCATTTCAAGCTTCCTTCTTGGGATGAAAGGGTTTGGGGATGTTCCTCGGCAATTCTGCCTGGCAGCCTTTTGCCACAACGGCTTCTAACTCCCACCATCCCCGAGACCTGTGGTCCCCAAGTCTCCTTGATCAAACCGCCCTCATCAAGGCAAAGTCATCTGCCTTCCCCAGGGTGGATGGGGGCAGAGATGAAAGGGCAACTTTCTCGCATGTCTTCATTAATTGCTTACAAGTGTCCTTAGGTACTTCTAAAATATACTCCACCTTCTTGGTCACAGCCCAGAGGTGTGACCCCATTTTTTAGAGGATACCCTCCCATCCCCTCTCTTTCCTAGCTTCTAATACAAGGCGTGAGAGGGGAGATAGCCCAGCCTTCTCCCACAGCTTCCAGTCATATATGGACATCACTGGGACACTGGCTGTACCAGAGTCCCCACTACCTCGTTCAGGACCAGAAGACACCCAGGTAGCCAACTGCCAACATAACTTATCGTTCCTCCACACTTTTTAACCTCCTGTGGGCCCCACCAGCAGCCCCCTCCCAGCCGATGATGTCCCGAGGAGCGATGCGGAGTGCTGCGCCTGGGGGAAGGCAGGATGGGCAGCGGGGCAGGTGGGGAACGGCAGCATGGGCTGCAGGAGGCAAAAGATGACATGCTTGTGCAAGGACTGATGCACAAGTTCAGAAATGCTGCTGAACAAGCCCTACGCACAGCAACCATACAGCATGTAAACGCCTTCCCCAGCCTTCCTCTTCTCTTTTTTCACTCCTGTGCCTCTTGTACGCCGCGTGCCCTGTTATGTGGGCTTTGAGACAGGGAGGCAAGGGACCGCACTGCGGTGACTATACATAAAGAATAGGAAGAGGTGGAAAAATACATGAACCCCATGCCCTCTGTTCTCACAGTTTTATCACTCATCTCTCGGAGTTTGGCATTTTCCTCCAAGCTCCAATGCCTGGCCTCACATCAGTTTGTGGACCCCGGCTTTCATCTAAAAGAATTATAATTACATGACATTCCAGCTACTATTGATGTGGAGAAGAAGCACAAGTAAGAATCCAAAATATTCATAATCTAGATGTTTAAAAAAAAAAAAAAAAGACTTTGACTTTCATTATTTTGGAAAGCTCTTGATTTCTGAGTGAGCCATGATTTTGAGGCAACCTGACTCATCATTTTTGAATGCTTCGGTTTGGCAGCCCTGTATATATTTAGTAATACAAACCCTGACTTGCAGCTTCCAATGAGGATCCTAATGGCATGATAAGACAGATTTTCATCTCCTTCACGTCATTTCCAAATATCAGGAAATGTACTTAACTGCAAGAGTTGTAAAAGCTGTGAAATAGCCTCCCTGGGGAGGAGCAGAAACCTCCCGACCACACACTTGAACAGCTGAACAAACCAAGAGAGAGCAGGCAGCAGCGAACGGCTCTTTACTTTCTGGCCAAGGGACAGAGCCGATGATCCCAGACACGTTTTCCTCTTCCTTTCTCCTGGCTCTGGGTATTGCTAATCAAGTCCTCATACCACAGCCACTGGAGCCTCTCTCATATCCAACTGGAGAAACAGCAACTTCTGCAGGAGGAGCACACAGCTTCAAGGGAAAATACTGTTGCAAACCACTTAGGACTTCACAAGGAGTGAGGAACCAGTGCCAGTCTATGAGAATGCATTCAAAGCATCTTCATCCAGCAGTCAGAATTGCATTTTTAACATTAAAATCCCTTAGGCACTTGGGAGTCTGTGAGATTTTTTTTTTTTTTTCCATTGCTTATCAAGCAGTGGTATTAAAAATGATGGTTTTGGCAGCACAGCCAGCCTGAGTAGATGTGAGATGATTTTCATTCTAGACCATCTGCTACTTACCTTCAACTTTCAAAGGCCTTGAATGAGACATAGGCCACTGAATTTTATAGCTAAATTTCATGAACCTCTTTGAAAATGAAAGGATTGCACAGAACACAAATTTAGAGACATCAAAGGGACCTTCCCTGTTCATGCAAGTATTAAAAGCAGTGCAAAGGGAACTAATTATAATTTGCTCTATTGCCAGTTTTCACACTGGAGCAAATACAAGCATTTTATGCTTTAAACCTTACAAACCCGTGGCTGCCAGCTTAATATACTCCTAAAGTCGGGACCAAATTAATAGACTAAAACCATCTTGTATCCACTCAGGCAAGCAATGAAGCCAAAAGAGCTGGCAGGCTAGCTCATGGAAAAACTTTCTTTTTTTGTATTCCTGCTTTGTTTTTAAAAAAAAAACACCAACAATATTTCTTTACATAGTATTCAATGGCAGTGTAAACGCTAATTCAGCTTTTTCAAAAGCAAAGCTATTGCATAGATGCTTTTTATTGAGCTGATCTTCATCCATACTGCCGACAGAGTCTGGAGGGAACACGACTGAAATGGCAGCTCCTCGTAAGAAGTATGGGAGAGTTCAGGGATCTCAGCCAAACGTGGCTGACTCAGGATCTGCTGACTCGAGTGGCTGAAATCATTACGTAGACATGTGAGTTCCAGACAGGCAATGGAGGGGAAGAGCTGCCCTAAATTATGAAGCAAGATCCAGGTGAAATTGTGAAAATCAAGGAAATTACTTTATAGCAGAACATTAGGCTTCTAGTCCAAACACAGATCTGCACATGGGCTTTGCAGCGAGGGTGATGGTGGGGTGGAGTGACCCTGACACCACTTGAAATCAATGAAGAGCGAAGCTGGGGATGAATCTCCCTTTGATATTTGATTCCTGCCCCACCAAGCCAACAAGCCCTGGGCCAAAGCAGGTACTGGCTGGCCAGGGCAGGAGCCTTTCCTGCTCCCCAGGGTGGCCTTAGACACCGTTTTACATCTTCCAGAGATCTACAAGCTTTCTCATTTACAGTTCACAAAAATCCTAATGGAGCACCTACAGAGGTGTCTTAGTTTCCATTCCCCAAGCTTTCAGGACACAGATTAGTGGGTATTGCATGCCAATAAAAGTCTCCAAAGGTGAATATTCCACATTCTTCATACTGTCAGTGGTGTAAGCAAAGCTGCTCGGATCCTGAGGCCATGGAGACAGGATCACATTTTGATGTTGAAGACAACTGGAACCAGTCCAGAAGGTCTCCAGAGCCCCAAGGAATAACAGAACCAATGAAACCCTGGGATGATACCAACATGCTGGCAAAGAATTGTATCACTTACTGTTCTCCTGCACTGATCCCCAGGGAAGGAGAGGTTGTTCATAATCCTCAACAATGGGAGAGTCAAAAAGCTGTCAACACAAAATTCATAGGAAGTTTTGGTGCTCCCACTCTTGGTGGCCAGCTTAGCTGCACTTACCCCTTGCCAAGCGAGCACCACTGCAGTTGTAACGCTGGGAAACTGAGCGAGGAGTTGCCTAGGGTCATGTCTGCACCAGACAGGTGAACACTACGCTTAATTCACACGTGAATAAGATGCCACAGTAGCCCCCTCATGCAAATGCATTCATCCCTGTACCGTTTCTTCCTATATGGGAAAGCAATTCAAGCCAGCCTGCACAACTGGTTCTTGGATCATTTTTCTGGATATCCACTCTTCCTTCTCCCGCTTATACTGTACAACCTGTATTTCCTTCTCTCCTGCCCCACTTTGAAGGAGCTGGGTATCTATATACCAGCAAAGGGACGAGAGGCTGGCAATATGGCCAGAAGATGTCAATGGAAGGGAGGGAAGACCAGAGGATGAAGCTGTGCTTACATGAAAGAGGAGATGCAGGAAAGAAGGAGGGAGAACTGGTATAAAACACAAGCACAAAAGCAAGAAGAGTCCAAGGGCAATGGAACCTCTGCCCCACCTGTCAAACAGTTCAGCAGATGGTTTAGGGGTAGAAGTAAAAGGGACTCAGTCAAGGGAAGGGGTAAGGTTGTATCTAGAGCTCAGCTTTGATTTCTTATTTCTAACTTGGCCTCAGAGCAGGTGAGCACGTACGCACTGGTGGGTCTGTGCTGTAACCGGGGTTGTACCTGGGCAATTTCCTTGACAGAGGCTTCTGCTCCCCTGTGCCACCTCCACAGCTGCAGTGGTGCAGGGCCTGTGCAGAAGTGTCCCTCTCTGCCGCACCTCAGCCTTCTCTCAAGTTAAAGCACGCGATTAGCCCTATTCAACCATCATCAGTTGGTTACAAGAGGTTAGAAATCCTTCTCCTCCTCCAGTAATTCATATCTGCCCAAGAAAGAGACTATAATCCTGACATACAGCTTCAAGCCCAGCAAGGAGTGCAAAGGTGTGCCAAGGAGCTACAGAAAAATCATCCAACATCCAGAAGAGCAGGGAAAGCCCAGACCCATCTCCTAGAGTTCCTGGTTTCTACAAACCACGCTGAAAAATTGTCTCAGTCTGCCTCTAGTAGAGGCTTGAGGCTGCAATTGATAAGAAGTGCCCTGTAAAGCCCGTAAATCCAACCCAAACCAAGTCACCCTATTTCTTAGATAAGTTTTATTGTTCTCATGGGAGAAAGTTGTCCTTTTGTGTTACCTGTTGGTCGATGACTCTGCTTTCAAGCAGTTTGCCAGCTCTGTGGCTCCCATCGCAATAATGCCACAAATAATTTAAGCGCTACCACTTTGGATCAAAATTTTAATGAGGCACTAGACCCACAAAAGGGGCTCTGTATAACATCATTAAATAGAATGGGCCTCAATAAACAGTAAGGTTTTACAAGTTACGTTATAGTTGAAAACAGCTGGGAGGCAAAGAAAGGAGCATTGAAGATGCATGATGTAAAAAGGCATTTCACAGAATGCAAACACTAGAACTTTTCATATCGCACAAACAGTAAAACACTACTAGCACATGACTTCCCTTTGATTTGGAAGAATCTGTGTGGGGCACAGGGCATTTGTTTTTTTCCTTCTACCAGTCAGCACAATGAAATATTTCACACGGAAACCCAAACAGTGGCAAAGAGAGCCGTTTGTCCTTCGGAAAGAAATAAATACTGCAGAAACAGGTAAAGTCAGTAGGAACATCTGGTTCAGTCAGGCCACAGGATGCTGGATCACAGTTCCAAAATGCCGGACAGTGCTGGGACTCCTCAAAATAGTCTTGCAAACAATCAGAATTGTAACAAGTCTGTTTGGCTCAGAGCTGCAAGACACTTGTCTCATGCTCACGCTGACTGCTTGAATCCACTGCAAGCGGTGACATTCAGGCTGAGCTCGTTGGCTCCATCTGCATCAGCTATTTACAATATCATGTTCGTTCCACCCCTGTCAATATTTGATCCAAGAGCTGCATAAACCCTACAAACACAGGAAGGTTTCAATTTCACATTAAGGTAAAGTTGACAGTGGTGCTGCTGTATCGCATAAAGTCAGTGCACTGTTACTCCTTGAGAATGAAACTTCTGGTAAACTTGGTTTTCATTTCATTTCCCCCCAGTCCTCTCAGCAGCCCTTCCCCAGAGCCGTAGCTATTGCTGCAGTTCTGGGCTTGTGAATGAAAAGTTTCTAAATTCATCTTGGTTTATCATCGGAAGAATTCCTTCTTCAATGGGAGTCAGAATGGGCTCCTCTTTTATAAAATCTGGATCAAAGTTGCTCACGTCATCTTTGGATTTCTGTCAAACAGAAAAGACAAAGGAAAGAAATGTCAAATACATATCATCTGCTTAATACTCGCTCTGCATCTTTATTCTGGTCTTGAATGCAATGAACCATCGCCTCCATAACCCAGGCTGAGCTTACTGAAAGCTTCTTCTGGGGTTGGACTGGGAGCAGCCAAGTGCCCCCACAGAGCCTCTCACCGTGCAAAGCCTTTTACAGCCTCTGCAGGCTTCTGACAGGGAAACCCCTCGCTGATTTAACTGACACCACCGCTGACGGGTTGCCTGCCTGGACACGGCAGGGCAGGGCACATAAATCAGTTCCTTTCCCCAAGGGGCAGGACAGACCCCGCCCCCCGAAGCAGTTATCAGCCCGGTTTC